CTATTTAATATTATATTTAATAAATTTATCCTTTTATAATTTTATTGTGATGTGCTAATTTAGATTTCATGTCTTTCAAGATAGATTACTTAAGTCTAAAAAATTTAAGATATGAAGAAAAGGAAAAACTAATTACGAACTTTAGTATTTCTTTAATTCATTTTTATTCAGTCTTGAAATATTTGATGAGAAAATTACACAATAAAGTTTTCAAATAAGCATAAAATACTTCCAAAATACTTTTTAAAATTTTATTACTGATATCTATAATGAAAGACTTTTGGCTGATTTTATTAGGCCAAAGAATGTTTTGAATTAGGATTTTTTCCTTTATTTTTGACTCTTGAGCAGTATATAATAATTGAGTGTATTAAGTTGAACATGAATTTTCTTAAAAAAAATTAATCAAAAAAATAAGCAATTTTTCGCCCATCTTTTTCTCACTAAACTTAAATAATGATTTGATATGAAAATCACTCTTTCTATAAAACAATACTTAGTATGCAATAAAGAATATGCTTTCAAATTATATATATTATTTTATGAGTTGATACTCAAGAAAAACTAAGTTATAATGCTTTTTTTGTTTAAAATTAAATATTTTATTAAATATTTAGAATATATTATTTAATTGTATGTGTAAGGTTTGATTTAGAAATAATTATATCTTACTTGTTTTGATTATTATTTCAGTAATTTTGAACAATGTTTTTGTAAGGAATGGTTTTTATATCCTAAAAAACATTGACGATATCTGTTTAAAATTATTATTAATTCAAACATTACAGATAAGTCGCTGAAATTTAATGATGATAACAAATAAGATGAAGATTGCGAAACAATAAGATTTGGAATGTCTAGTATTAAAAGACTTATATAATCCTCATTTAAATTGGAAATGTGATACTTTTATGATTAATATATTTTTATTAGAAAATTAGAAGTATGAAGTATGGTCATCTATCGAATTTCTAAAATATCTCACAATTTACTGTTCTAAATATTCTCAATTATTAAAATTATAGTTAAGCTTTAGAAGCATTTATGTTGATAGCTGGGGGACCAAATGTTTTACCATTCTTATAATAAACCTTTTAGATTCTAATTTAATTACAAAATCATTCACAGTTGTACCCTAGTATTCTATAATATTAAATCCTGAAACATACTTATTTCTTTATCATAATTCACATAAGTGATTAGTAAATTTTGAATAGATTGTTAATTTTTATACTCTACTAAAACTAATCCAAAAAATTTTAATATTTTGAATAATTGTCCTCAAACTCTTATTTTCAATCTAAATATTATGAAGAATATCTGATTTTCTTTTATTTTTAAAATCTAATTTTTCAGTTTTATTCTTCCTTACTGACAAAAATCAATATAATAGATATTATGTATTGTAATATTATAACATATTTCTTAAAAAGTATTATTAGATCATCATGTCGGAGTTTCTACAAAATTCACTTAAAATACCTGATTTTTAATACAACAGACATAATTAATTAAATTCAATCATTGAAAAATCTAAATGCTATAAGCCTCAACAATTAAGGAATTAAAATTTAAATTCATTTAATTTAATATTTCATACTAAACATCTACTTTAAATAAGCTTAATGATCTTATTTAATATTTATAAGCTATCAAATCAATCAATAAATCTCTTTCTTTATCAATTTTTGATTCATGAATCTATACTTCTGCAAAATTTTTAAAATTGATTTTTATTTATACTATTAAGGGTTGAATGAATGAGATTGTGAATCCCATTTTATAAAATTTTGATTTTTTGTTAATGTAATCTTTAATTGTTCCCATAATTTTTCTATTGGATATAATAAATATGGTGGAAAAAGAAATGAAGTATAAACTATGCGGCGTTATTTACTATTTTTAAGTGATTTACACACGAATTATCCACCTAGAGTTTTTTCAAAGCTCAAAATAATTGCAACAAATTTTAAAAAATCTCTTCATTAACTTTACTAAAACCTTTTTGCCGAGCATTTTTTAATCCATCTTCTTTTATACACACTAAAATACCTATTTATTCAATCTTTCCATAATATTTCACTAATTTTTTTGATAAACTTTATCATATAAATTAAAAGTTTCCTATTCATTCTTCACAAAAAAAAAATATTGTCAGAAAATTTTTTAATGAATT